TGGCATTTTTGGAGAATCCTGAGCAGGCCAGTATGGGTGGAGCAGCGTGAAGTCGGGGAGAAAAAGTCAGAACGGGAAGGGCTTTGTGGGCCATCCGGAGGACGTTGGCTTTTACTCTGAGAAAGGTGGGAGCCATGGCGTGCTGTCGGCAGAGCAAGGAGGAGACCTGACTCCTTGTTCACAAGTGCCCTCTGGCTGCTACAGTGTTGAACAGTCCTTTATGTCATCCAAGCCATTTACTTGCCACTCATGTTTAATATAAATTTCTTCTTAATGGCATCGTTAGAGCTAGCATAAATCATCTTGCTTTTAAAAGGTGCACTTTCAGGAGCCCATAGTGCCCACAGCTGTGGCTGCACGGCTGGGCTCTGGCTGGGCAGCACGGGGAGGAGGAGGATGGGGGGTGGCGGGGAGCGGCAAGTGCGGGGCATACTGCTCTATATTTTAAACAACTGTCAGCAATGCAAAATAATTCTGTGGAAAAATCAATTTTACCTCCATTTGCACATTCATTTAAGTATTTGTGAAATTATGTACATGTGTATTATAATTCATGTATACATATGTGGAATACACATATAATACATGTAAAATTATACATATTATTTATAATTTTATGTATATTTATTACTGCATGTATAGCTTCATTATATATAACTAAATGGTATTTGATTTGCATCTCTCGGATGATTAGTGACTTTGAGCATGTTTTCATATGTCTCTTGGCTTTCTGAATGTCCTCTTTTGAAAGGTGTCTATTTAGGTCCTTTGCCCATTTTTTGATTGGATTGTTTATCTTCCTTTTGTTAAGTTGTGTGAGTTCCCTAAATAGGGAATTTTTCTTGCAAGAATGCAAGCCCAGAGTTAGGGGTTGCTGGTATTGGTTCTATTGCTTGGTAGTATTATAAAGGATTTAGACTCTCCCTATATAAATTATACTGGCTCAAAATAGAATGCAAATGTGATATATATAAGTATATATCACAATACATATTACATAATGCACATGTAATGTATACAACATATATAATGTATACATCATATATTATATAATGCATATCTATATATATAAAAGCCTAAGCGACCTTTCAACTGGTAACTATGAAGCACAATGACCACCAGGGGGCAGACGCTCAATGCATAGGCATGGAAACATGCAACAGACTGACGAATCTCAGAGAGAAGCGGGGAGGGGGGAGAGTGGGAAGAGATTAACCAAAGATCATATGCATACTACAGGCCCAGTGCACAGATTCATGCATGGGGTCCCTCGCCTTGCCTGTGAGGATCACGCTGAAACCAGCAGTCCAACATCCCCCTAAGGGTCCCAGATTGCTAGAAGGTGCAAGCCAGGCTGAGGGACCCCACTGGTGCATGAATCTGGGCTTCTAGTGCAGTGATGGCGAACCTTTTGAGCTTGGCGTGTCAGCATTTTGAAAAACCCTAACTTAACTCTGGTGCCGTGTCACATATAGAAATTTTTTGATATTTGCAACCATAGTACAACAAAGACTTATATTTCTGATATTTATTTTATATATTTAAATGCCATTTAACAAAGAAAAATCAACCAAAAAAATGAGTTCGCACCTC